TGCATAGAGGACATTAGTATAAGCAGAATCTGGAAAACACTTTGGACTGACCTTTTTCAGATACTAAAGCAAGAAGAATGCTTTTGTCAGTTATACTACTTTTTGTTCTGAACAGGGTTTGTTTTTGGACCAGTCTTGATAATATGTTAACATTAACATCTTACCTGAGATTTGTGTAAAAACTAAATTTAATGTTTGAATTGATGGGGAAGACAGGTGCAATATTTCTAAGGAGAAAAGTAGGGTTTTTCACACACCTTATTTCATCTGTGCTATTGCCTTTTTTAATTTTACTTTTAACAGAAGTAAAAGGTTGTTTAGTTTTGTAGACTTCGTGTTTGGAAGCATTTAATACCTCATTCTCAGCTGCTGAGGAACATGACTTAGATGAAACACTGTGTTTATTAACTCACTTCAAAAGGTATGTTTTTTTAATATGCATGGACTAACTCTTTGAGGACAGGTTCTAGTTGGTTCTTTATTATGGTTTTGCTAAGGAAGGCTGAGGGCTGGCAGTTTCCACGAGGTTGTTTGGATAAACACTGCAAACTAAATGGTGGGTCACTTGTCAACTTCTGTACCTGTGTTACTCTAAACTGAGTGTCTGGTTGTGAATTAAAATGTGTGTCAGCAGACAGCTTTGCCAAGTTGAGTGAAGCCTTGGAGTGGGTTATGAAACTGTCGGGGTGGGGGGTGGGCAAAAAAACCAAACCAACCAAACAAAAAAACAAACACCCCACCAACACTTGAAGGTGCAGCAAGTGCTAAGTCTTCCTGGACCTGCCCCTGTGAATGGAAGTGGACAAACACAAGCTCATAAATACTTGCTGTATCATTTTTCATCATTAATGAGGAACTTAGCCTCTCAAAATACTTGTTGCTACAATATTTGTTTAAATGAAGCTTCTGAATGAATGATACATTAATGGAAAAGAGTAAGGAGCTTGTAACTGGGTAAGTTACAATTAAAAGCCTTGAATTATGGGCAAAAGTACAGGTAGCTTACAACCTTTAACAAGAATCAATCTTCCAGCTGCCCATGTACCTTTCATAGCACTTAATTCTCCAAGCGTTACTCTTCTTGTTTCCAGCTCATCAGACTATTCTAACTACTTTTGTATGTAAGGTAACTTTTAACGAGACCTTAAGCAAGCTGTCACAACCTTAATATAAATTGGGACAATGATACTTGTTAGTTGGTGTATGGTTAAAGTTCTTTTAACTTAATCCTGCAGTCTCTCCAAATTGTCAGTCTGCTTGCCATCGTATAAATCTTACAGAGGAGAGTGAATGTCATGCTCCTTTTAACTGACATGCTACTGCATGTACAGTTGCTATTGTCTTGTGTACCTTCTCTTTGCAGCACATGCAAGGTGAATGATTAAACTCAAAGAATGAGAAGTGAGAGCACAGTACATTTTTAAAAATAAAATTTAAAAAAATCCTTATCAGTTTTGACTCCCCATTTGTTATGTTTCTAATGTAACCTTTCTACTCTATCTATGAGTGTTATTTCTACTGATAGTTTGATGGATAAAGAAAATAAAGCAAATGCAAATAGTCTGCACGATACAGTATTCATGATCCCCAGGACATGGTTGGAGCTTTATTGGTCCACATAAATTGGACATTGGTAGGAAATTATGTTTGTAAAACTCGTAAGAACCTCAAGGGTTTAAAGGTGGAAGAGGGGAAGCCTGGAACAAGTGGAAACTCCTCAGTGCGTGGTTTAAGTACTTGATGTTTTGATGTATTGCTTTAGCCATATTTTAGTTGAAAGGATCTTCAGTTATTTATGTTCTATTTAAGTGAATAGTTAAAGCACTAAGTTGAATCCAGTTCTAATTAAAGCAAAACAAAAATCTTTAAGAGAAAATAACCTTTTAAAATATACTTCAGAATAAATTAAACCTGATCAGTTGGCTTACATAAAAAATGAAATTCCTGCCAAGTGTAAATTATGTAATAACTTCTGTTACTCCCATAATAAAAACATTTCAAGGGGAAAATTGAATTTCACACTTTAATCTTTTGTTGGGAAAAGGAAAATCCAAACACTCAGGATTAGGTGAAACATTTCCAAGTTTACCTTGATAGAGTTTGCTATTGTGAGCTAAAGATCTAACTGTTTTATTTCACTTGCTTTTGATTGTAAAATGATTTCTTCTAGTATGAGAAATAAAAGCAAATTACTGGAGTACGGAGAGGATGCTGTTAATTTATCTTGTTAGACTGTTATGCTCTTAAAAAGGTGAGCCACAGAAAATGTTTGGATATGTGCTGTCCAGGTGCTTTCATCTGTTTGAGTAACTGACTGAGAATACTTCGGAAGAAAACAGAGGAAGGAGGGTTATCAAGAAAAACAGTCATATTACTGAAGTTTTACCATTTTGACTCTGTAAGCAAATTATCATGTGGTTATCACTTACATGATTAGACTTGGTACTTTTTTCCTACTAAGGTTTATGTTTAAGTTTGTGTTGAAATCCTTAAGAGGATGGTGAAGCTTTCTGGTCAATAGCAGGCTTAGCTCTGCCTTTGCGACTAGATTTCTGGCATTTGGTTGGAAGAAGCTGTTTGAAAGCTTGTGGAACTCTTCTACCTCTTCCACTTACTCTTTTGGCCTAAACTTTTTGACGTTTGGGGTCATGGTTGGGTTTGGGGTCATGGGTTGGAGCAGGACATTTAAATCTGAAGTCTACATTTCTCCCCTTCCCCCATGTGATTCAAAGATGTTTGCATAGCTTAACTCAAAGGACTAGATAGCCTAGGTTAATAACATATAAGCATATAATCAGCAGTTCTTTAACTTTGAAACATTGCTTCTTCCAGCATTAATACTAGGCTAGTTTGAGGTTTCATAAAGGTTAGTGGTGCTTGGGGTTTCTGTGTAGGTAGGATATGAGCAGTAGAGTTTACCTGGTGACAGCTGAGTCAAAAGTGTGTTTTATCCAGGGAAGTACAAGTGAGATGTCTCTTGCCTTAGCAATTATTTATAATATGCTGTTTTAAATGCTGATGAGCTGTCTCTTCTGAGACTTGCAGATGGTAATTCTCATTGGTTTTGAAAATAGACGTGGAATATGTGAAGATGTAACTTAAGTCTTAAATTTTATCTATGGTATAGTATGATCTTTGTCCTCCAGTCAGAGCTCCATACAATAAACCATTTTTTGCATGCAGCTGAAACCTGCTTGGAAGACCTCTTGTAGCTTATCTATGTGAAACTCATTCCTTTCTCTGACATCACAGGTTTCCTGTCTCATCTGACTGCCTTCATTAGTAGCGTGCATTTCTTCATTCCTCTTACTTCAGCTGTTACCAAACAGCTCTCAATCCTTGGAGTTAGTGGATCAGCAGCCAGAAAATAACTGGCAGGGTTGAGCTTTCCTGCGGAGTGGAACTGGTTGCGTTCCCATTCTGAGCATTTGATTCTCTTAAACTGAAGAGCAAAGAGACAAACTTGTAAATGCTGGTAACTGGATAATGTCTTAATGCATGAATCTTGAGGTTGATGAGTATATATCTATTCCTGAGAAGAGGTCTTTGACAGGTGCTCTAGTCTTGTGTCTTACTGTGCTAGCTTAATGCTTAAGTGAATAATTCAGTAATCTTGCACACCAGAAAAATTTGAATTTATCTGCACAGCTCAGGTGTGAGAAGATGTTTTAGTCATTTAAAATGACTGACTAATTGTGTGCTTTACAAAACAGTTAACACTGGTAGTGATTTGTAACTGCACCAGGTGATTCTTTTGAAATATTGCTTTCATCTTAGGGGTTGATATGGAGAGGTTTGAAGCTGTAAACTAATATTTGTAAATGGTCCAAAAAATAAATAATAATTCCACCTGCAGGTTTGTATCTGTATCTTGGAATCCTGATAGCTTTCTGTTTTGACTTTCTGCTGACAGGTCACATTTAGGGCAGGCAAAACATAAGGCACATAGCCCTCCTGAGAGTAGAAAATCTATTTCAAAGACACCCAAAGTGCAGTCTAATACTACTTCTGAGCAGTCCAAGGGACACTTTTCTAAAAGGTAATTGCGCTTCATATTCATATGTTAACCAGTGTTATCTGCGCTTCACAACTGTGTATAATATATCTAGTTATACAGAGTTCGTATAAAATGTATGACTAATAGATTTTAACTAATCTAGGTATTGCATTCAGTGGATATATTTCAGCGTTTCACATTCTGTTTGTGTTTTGTTTTTCTAATTCACCAACTAAGAGCATTCCATCAGTGATGGGGAGGAAATGATTTCTGCATAACTAGTCCTGGAATACTTGCAAGGTCTTTCTTCCCTTTTCCTGCTTCATATTGGGGGAAGATTGCCAAAGGAGTTCTGAGCAATGCCCAAGATTAATTGAAACATATAATAATCTAAAGTATGCCTGTGTTCAGGCTAATCATCTCAGTCATGCTTTGTCTGCTCTTCATACACTTCTGCTGTATACACACTGGAACAGTTTTCTATCATGTAGTAGAGAATTTTGCCATTTTTGTGTGTGATTCATTACCTCAATTTCAAGATTGATGAGAAACTATCCGTTCATGAAGAGCCTTATATGAACTAGAATCCAGTTATGACTAGTTATGCATTACTGAACACTCCTTACTCCCTTGTGGAACTTATATTCTCAAACGTTCAGAGAATAGCTTCATGGCTTGAATTTTTTTTAATCAGTTCGACATATCTATTTAAAAAAAAAATCAGATAGTAAATCTATCCAAGTTACTTCATATCCTCCTCTTTAAAAAAAGCGTACTGTGCTTTTATTTTGCAATTTATTTTAGTTTTCATGGTAGCAAAGGTATGACTGTTCTCATACAAGCATGCTTTTTTCTTGTTTCAATGTAAACTTAATGATCAACAGTGTTTCTTACATGCAATTTCCTTTGTTATTAGAGAATGCTGACATTTATCTTGCAAAACTGTTGCAACTGTGAGGTTTCTTGAAATCAACACTAACACTGTTCCTGCTTACTTCTACAGAGGCTGTAGTTCATCTGCTGTTTTAATACCACAACAAGAAGATACAGAGAGAGTCAATACTTCAGAAAAGCAAAAAACGGGGCAAGTGCCTAAGAAAGACAATTCTCGAGGAGTTAAACGCAGTGCTAGTCCAGATTACAGGAGGACCAATTCTCCTAGCTCTGCTAAAAAACCCAAAGCACTTCAACACACTGAAACTTCCTTGGAAACTAACAAGCCACATACTAAATCTAAGAGAAGACACTTAGACCAAGAACAGCCGAAGTCTACACAATTGCCATCAACAAGTAAGGCTCACACCAGAAAGGGTGGAGCTGCTGGTAGCTCCCGAAGTCAGAAAAGGAAAAGGACAGAGAATCTGTCTTGTATAAAGAGTGGTTCACGCTGAAGAGAAATCAGCAAAACTCTCCAAGCTGGCTTCAAAATCGGTGACCTCAGCCAAAGCTGGGTGTAGCACCATCACTGATTCTTCTTCTTCAGCTTCCACATCCTCCTCCTCTTCTGCTGTTGCCTCTGCTTCTTCTACTGTTCCTCAGGGTGCCAGAGTGAAACAGGGAAAGGACCAGAATAAGGCTAGACGTTCCCGTTCTGCATCCAGCCCCAGTCCAAGAAGGAGTAGCAGGGACAAAGAACCGAGTAAAACAGGTGGCTCTTCAAAGTTTGACTGGGCTGCTCGATTCAGCCCAAAAGTCAGTCTCCCTAAAACAAAACTGTCTCTACCAGGCTCTTCCAAGTCGGAGACATCAAAACCTGGACCTTCAGGACTACAGGCTAAGCTAGCAAGTAAGTTGTTCTTTGGTGGAAGAAGAAGCATGTATGTTTTAAAATCAAGTCTTCTAAACCAATACTTCTATTGTTTTCAGATTTCTTGGGATCTTCTTAGAGAAATTAACTGTTAGTGTGTTCTGCTGAGTTCTGAAATAAAGCTGTGACTGAAACTATTTACAGCTAAAGCAAATGATTTAAGTACATTCAGTGTTCTATAAGTTTAATTTGTTTTTCTGTCTTGCAAATCAATTTTAAAAATAAAATATATGCAAAATAGTTGGATCTTGTGATGGGGACAAATACGTTATAAAAGTCTCTCGATTATATTCTTCCTGTCTCTTTTTTTTTCCTCATTTTCTTAAGCTTTCTGTCCCGAAGTGGGAATGATAAATGCTGGAAAACAAGTAGATAATATGTGGTTTCTTGTTTTAAGCCCACTTTCCTAATTTTTCCTTACTGTGAGAATCTCTGATGTTACTTTAAGAACAGTAGTCTTCTAAACCTAGTGTACCTAGTGCCTGGGACGTTAGTCACTTTATCTTTTCAATTGTTCGTACAAAATATGTCCTCTCTCTGGTGCTGAATTTGAATAGCAGGTACCGTTCTTGGACATTGTCACTAAGAAATATAGGCTGTATCCAAGCAGAGCACCTGCTTGCTAGTGTGCAAATATGCTTCTAGCTCTGTTGCCTTGAACAAAATTTTTTTGAAATACATTATGCTGCCTTTGTGTATTGTATGATTTACTTATAGCATGTATTCTCTAAAACTTGATTTAAGAAGTTGGATTCCTAAGCTTGCTTACTGTTGTTCCTTTACCTAGACATGATCACCAGCAGCCTGTCCCAACTGGGGCATGTCTATAGCTAATACTAATGCAGGAAATATGTGAAATAAACAAGAGCAACTGGATGTTTTCCTATGTAATCAAAATAGATTTAATTGACTTAACAGGCTTGTTTTGGATAACTTGCACGACTGGAGTATTGATTCTGGAATGACTTAACCTAATTGGGGAAGCGGAGAGGAGTTACTTTCTTTATAGCAAGGTTTTGTCTACCTGCTCCATGGTTCAAGACTTACTGGGTGATGAATTCCAGAGTAAAAACTCTGAATTTGCACAGGGTGGAGTGAGGGGGAAGTGGGTAGGAAACAGGCAAGAATGGGACTGACCAACAAGCTCTTAGCTAAGTCTTTCCTTGTTACTGGCAACTTTTTAGCAATGAAGAAAGCAACAGGGAGGAGAGAGAATTTTCCTCCAACATGTAAACAATGAGAAGGTGAAGGCAGAGAGTAATTTCTGTGACAAGTTACAAAACTTCAGCAAGGAGTGAGAAGGGGAAGGGTGGGATAGCACAAGGTAAGGGGGGGGCGTGTGTTGAGTAGCTTGAAAAACAGTGTTGAGAATATAAGCTTAAACTGTCTCCACAAAGAATGCACTGAGAAAGCCAGCTTGACTAGCTTTAGCTCTTCCATGACCTGAAAGTCGTATTTTGCAAAAAGATAAACTTAAGTTGAACTAAGACATTCACATGTATGTTACAAAACCAAGTTGGTATGGACTGTAGGTATGTGTGTGTACGTATAAAAAGTCACTGGTAAGGGGCACAGAACATGATGAGAGACATTTCTAGACTCAATAGAGGTTAAAGTTACTTTCTCTACATGGTGTCCCAATTGTGGGGGGCGGGAAGTACTAACAGGTGATACTAGGAAGTCTAAAATGTCTAATGCCTCTTTATTTTACTGTAGATTACAGCAAAACTTATTCCGATGATTACTATATTGAATATCATTGATTAGAGTAAGTGATTATACTGAATATCACTAAGAGTAAGAACTCAACCTAGAATAGAAGAAAAGTGTTAAACTTTGATATTTTCCAAATAGTCTCAGCCTTTCAAATAGTGCATTAGAGCTCTTTCACAACAGATTGAAGTGGTCTTGGAATCAATAGTAACTATTGTTAGCTTAGCCCTTTTTTTAAAAAAGAGAAAATAACTTGTTTGTCATACAGGTTCACTAACTTGAAAATATTGGGACAAATTTGACCTATTTTAGCAAAATACGCATTTTGGATAATGCTGAGAAGTGTCAAGAAAATATTAAGAAAATAAACCTCCAGGGTAGGTTTTTAAGGAAGAATGGGTAAGTTCAAATTTATTTTCTGTAGCAAGCTAGTACCCTTAGAGTATAAGGGAGCAGAAGTAGGTGATTTTTCACGCAAGTATTAACACCCCTAAAGCTTCCTAAAGCAGTAAGGCAAACAGTGATCTAGATTAAATTATTGAGGTGTACACCCCTCTGCCTGGAAAAATGTCCTTAGAAGGCATAGTAATCCTTTGTAGAAAGTGAAAGCTAAAACTCAGTAGGCTTGTATGGGAGTATAATATGAAACAGATGTTTTGAAGAAGTTTGAAATAGGGCTTATAGAACTAGTGGGAGATAAACAAAAAACAAACATGCAAACATAACTCTGTAAAAAGCTGCAAAAACTTCATGGAAAATGATGGGGGGGGAATGGTTCTAGGAAGAAAAGTGGGAGGAGAGAGGAGATTATTCTGGCTAACATATGGTCAGTCATGTCTATATAAATGCAATGCTATTAACTTCTGGGTATTGCAGTTCAGGAAGTACAAGAAAAATTCCTAGTTATAATCTTTGAAGAAAAAACTAGAAGAGCTGAGCTGGCTTACTCTACTGAAGAGAAGAATGAGGAGAGACATGGTTACCATCTTTGCACAAGCTTTTCACGTATTGGAGGGGAATACCCTGAGGTTTCTTGTCTAGTCCTCTCTGGATAATTAATAGGTGTTAAATGCAGCCAAGGTAACTTTCAGAGTCTTCAGCTACACAGCAGTCTGTGTAACTGAGCAGTGACATCACTGAAAAACAGCTATAGAATTTGTTGGAAAAATAAAAACAGGCTAGACTAACTGCGGCTATAAGACTGGCAGCCTTCTCAGAGAGAGTGCAGGAAAGAGACAAAGGAGAACTAATCTAAATTTCTGTCTTCTAAGATAAGTAAAGCTTTACAGTTTTTTTAATAACATAAAATTCGATGATCTTTGCAATAGATCTTTGCATGAAGACTTTTGTACACAAGTTAATTGCCATGAAAAAAGTTTTCTGCTGTTTTTTTTCCTGCAGCAGATAAAACTGGAGATACCTGTTCATGTTTTAAGTTTGCTGAGACAGTTTCGTACTCGCCTCTATTTTTGTAGCTCAACATTTCTTGGTGGGGGCCAGGGAGGAAGCAAGTTTCTTGTTTTGCTCTCTTGATTTGACTAGATTTGACTACTTTCTCATCACTTTCTAGCCTTATATTTTGTAGGGGCTTTTTAAATGTTGCGAATCGGATCATCTCACTGATTATGTAACAATATAAACCCACGCTTAATTATGTTTCCATTACTAGGGAAATCTCTACTGCCCTTTGTGTAGTGTCTTGTGGCCCTTAAGTAGGAAGAAGCTGGCAATGATGGCTGAGAGCAAGGTAACTTAGGGTAGCTGTCCCTGACTGAGAAGCCTCTACTTAATACTTGAAGATGTGGGGGGCTGGAGAGGTTATTGTGATACACTGAAAACCACATGAAGGGGAACACGGAGCATGAATGGTGTATAACTCCTGGCTTCAAGAGATTTGGCAGAGGAGAGGGAGAAAAGAATCTGAAAAATAGCTCAGAATTAGTTTATTTGGGATTGTGGGTGACAGTGCTGTCTGCATGATGGTTGTTAGAGCCTTAGAGTTGTGGAGTTAGGTTTGAGGAAATAAGATGACTAGCTTGGAGATACTTGGTTTAATTGTGGTGATAGGCTGTGTGGGGCTATAATCGAGCTGGGGATGTCTGGCTTGATACTGAGGGAGGGGAATAGTGGAGTATTAGAATGACAGGAGGTTATCTTGCCTTCCCCTGCCACAGCTGTCTTCACCCTATCTTTATTGTGTGAGGAGGAGAGCAGCCCAACACAGGAGCCAATCTGAAGACTAAACTTCCAGTCCTAACAAGTAAATCTCTACTGATTATCTTTCTGAACTGCATATAAAGGACTTTCTAGGTTATAGACTGTGAAAGTTTGACTAGCTTTGTTTTGGCTTGGGTAATACACTCACACTTAAAATAAGTGAATGCAGTACAGCCGCATTCAGAACTTGTTTCTTTCACGCAACAAAAAAAGCCTTTAAAAAAAAAAAATGCTGACCAGTAAACATACTTAAATGGGAAGATGTTCTTAAGATTTTTTTTGTTTGATTTCTGTTAGGCTGCGCTGTTTCAGGTTTAGCCTGTTTGGGTCTATTTTCCTTCAGAGTCATTAACATGAGTGTTTGGCATGCAAATAGGATGATGTCAGGGCATAAAGCAGTATATCTGTTTGCCATAAGGAAACCTATGCCACTGCTTTAATTCTGAAGTTTACATCTGAAGTTTTTGCAGTTGCTGAATATGAACTGTTTAAACCTGATTTTCTTTTGGTTTACTGAAAGTCCATCTCTGTTCATAACTTTTGCTAGCTCTTAGAAACAGATCTCTTGATGATAGCTCTGTATATTACAGAGTGTTGGGTTAACGGTTGGACTTGATGATCTTAGAGGTCTTTTCCAACCTTAATGATTCTATGATTCTATGATTAAATAGTGCTAAATAAACAACTTCTGGAGATGAACATCAAACCAATTCCCCTGAAAGCCCTTGCTGTCGGTCTATGGCAGCATGACTGGTGCTTTCCTTCATCAGGCAGTCTCAGGGGATCCCTAATCCCATCTCTCTGCTGGTTGTGCCCTATTTACCAGTGAAGGCTTGGGGCTGTTAGCCTCCTGCAACTCCTATAGATACAGGACTAACACTCAGTTGGGAGGCCATGCTGACAGTGTGTTAAGGGGGAGATCAAATTTTGATGACAATGCGAGTGAAAGGAAGAAGGCTTAGTCCTACGCTGAAGAAATTGGCAGTCATGAGCTTATGGTATTGGGAAGACTCAAAGGATTTGCAAAAGATGCAGGTGGTAAGATTGACTTAAGAAGCCTTCTTAAACAATGAACTTTAAGGGCAGAGAGTGGCATTGAACAGCAGGAAGGGAACAAGCTCTGAGAAGTCTTTCATCTCTTCCTTTTTAGCCTTTGAAATTAATAGAGGGAGGTGGAAGCTCATATGTGCCCTGGTACATACATCAGAGGTAGAGAAATAAAGACTTGGGAAAAGACAAACATGCGAAAAGATCTGACAAGTAGAACATTCTTCCTTAGCAGCAGGAGAAAATGAGCTCAACTCTTCTGGGTTCTCAGGCTGTGATGTATTCTGCAGCTCATCCACCAAGGGGTAACTGGGTAACTCTTCAGATTCTCTAAAACCCTCTTACTGAGGTAATTCGATTTAAAGATATGGCTAAGCTAATTTAATGCCCCTTACAGAAAAGGACAACCCATTTCATAGCTTCATTGCCCTACTGCTTCATGGTGTTTGTGCTCCTCTGACCCGTGTTAAGCAAGCTCAGCTCACCAAACTGGCGGAATACTAATGGAACAAGAAAGTGTATCAGGTGTGCACTTTGTGCATCTTGGGATTGGTCTGGGGACAATAAGACATGAGTGAGTGTGCCATGCTATTAAAGAACAGTAAGCTGTTAAGGTAGCTCTACTGTTTTGGGAAACCTTTGCCCTTAGCAGAAATCCTATTTTGATAGAAGTTAAGTCAATCTTATTTCACTTACAGTGGATGTGTGGTGTCTCGTTGATAGCTCATTACTAAGCTGATATGAAGTTATTTACTACTTGAAAATGAGTACCCACAGATTTGAAGTAGTAAGTAGTGTGCTGACATAAAGAATTAAAATGTATTTCTTTATTTTGCCAGTGAACTCTACTGTTACAGGATGATTAACTTATTCTTCTAAATGTAAAGCAAAAGTACATCTCACTTTAGAATTTCACCATACTGTTACAGGTACAGAGTAGCCTACTTTTCCATATATGCAATATGAACTCAGAGTGGTAAACACACTTCATCTGTGGATTAATACTGTGGTATACCTAGTGTCAGTTAAGGCATGCATTTTCTATTGTAAAATATAATCAGCTATGAGGGGAGTTTTGTTGTATCTGTGCACTTCTAGTACCTGAAAAGCTTAGATAGTTATGGCATGGCATCCTGCTACAACTGTTTCAAACTGTTTTTGTCTTGTATCTCTACTTCACAATATACTCCTCTCCCCCCCTTCCCCCCGAGTGTCTTACTGTATGTAAATAGGGTGGGAGTCATCAGGTATTTCTGTTGTAGCAACTTCAACTTAAATTTTTGTTTTGAAAGCATATGTAGTAACAATGCCACTGCTTTTTAGAATATTTGAAAAAGTTACATGTTTTGTTCTATATGTATAGACCATCTGAAGATTCGAGTGGCTGGCCTGCTTCAGTTCAGTGCTTGGTGGCTGTTAAATACAGAACCTTGTTGTTTTCTTAAGGTTGCCAAATTTCTTGAGTCCGTAAGCCATCTGCATGGAACTTAACTGCATATAGCATTGTATTCCTGCTTCAAATATAGTATAGTCTTTGAAAGGACAGACTATTGACCAGGTCAGTAATAGCTTTTCAGATCACTTTCTCTTTTCCGTTAACTATCCAGTCAGAAGCTGCATAGTTATCATTTCATCCTTCAGTACCACAACTCAGCATTCCTGGAATGTTTTAGGATTAAGGAAATAGACAGGAGCCAGTTTGATAGGTACTGTGCTCAAAAACATTGCACATTTAAATATGTTTTTTTCTGCTTTGTCCCAGAAGAGGGAGCAGTGATTTAACTTTCTCATCTTTTCAAAACTACTTACATCTGTTCTAGTAATAGTATGTCTAAATTGAATGTTATGGGGTTCTCTTACTTTATTTTATTTATTGTAGAGGTGGGGGGGACTGAAATGTAAAGCTGGGCCTGATAAGGATTTTTGATTTTCAGCACTTTAATTATCAGCCTTCTGGTTTGGAAGCTGTTATAGGATATTTCAGCCTGATAGTAAGCTTGCTCATCATCTGAGAATGTTATATTGCATGTGTTAAAGGTTTACCTGGTTCTGTGGTGGGATGTGTCACCAGAACAATGGCTTCATAACCTAGAGCAAATTAGTATCAGTTGGGTCAGTTTTCAACAGTGCAAATACTTCTAAATTAAAAACTTGAACTCCTTTTCTAAAGCTGTGAAGATATGCTTGGTTATTTGCCTCAAGGAAGACCTTATGATAGTGATAAGGGTTGAAGGGATGTAGTTGAAATAGGAACACAAATAATACTTATGACAGATCTCAACACTGGCAGTGCTTGACTCCTGGAGGGGAGCATGGTTTTGATTTAAGGCAGTTATTCTTAAGCCATACTAACGTGAATAAAACTGACTAAAATTATGATTCAGCTAGTGAAGAAGATGAAGTTTATGCTGCACAGATTTACACAGAGGTGGGGGAAAACAGATGCAACCACCACTGCCCTCCCCGCAATGTAATTTCTTTTTCTCTCTTTATCTAAAGCTAAAGCATCTTCTTTTAAGTGTTTTGAACATCAACATGTGTTAATAATAAACTTGTATCCTGTAATGTGATATGTTTAGCATGAGAAACTTACAGACTCTTCTATAACTGTAGTGTGTAGCTTAGGAAAAGGTGTCTAGGTAACAACTTGGAGTTTAGTATTACTTAACTCAAAATAATGAGTAAAAGTAAATATCTGAACTTTCCTTTTACTGGTATAGCAGTTCAGTGTAAGGTGACTAACAGCTGGTGTGGGCTTGTTGTGGTTCTTGTGTAGAAGTTCTTCTACATAGAAGTTTCCTGTATGCAGAAGTTTCATTTCTTTGTAGAACTGCTGTGTATTTAAAGCCTGATTTACTCTCAATTCTTTGCATATTACATAGGTCTAAGAAAATCTACAAAGAAGCGCAGTGAATCACCACCTGCTGAGCTCCCCAGTTTGCGGCGGAGCACACGGCAAAAGACCACGGGCTCCTGTGCTAGCACCAGGTAAAAATTAAGATAATGAAACATGATTACTGTAGTGGGTTGACATTAATGTCACTTTCCTGCATGAAAACTGACCTTGTCTATCTCTTACTTTGCTATTGTAGAAGTAGCTGTAGCTTTTCAGGCCTGCTGGGTTACTCTGTACACCAGTGTCATGCATAGTGCATAGAATTTGTCACCATCAGACCTTCAATAAGTCCCTCAACTGTGGGGATGGAGGAGAAGAAATACCTAAAGCCAATATTGCAAATTTAAGTAATCCTTTCCTTAGGGAAGTGTTTTTTAAAAAGATACTAAACACTAAGAGAGTGCCAAACTACTGCCCATCATAAATAATAAAATAGATGACTATTTTGAAGAATAAAAGACTTCATGGTACCACACAGGAGTCTGTTTTAATAGTGTACATTGTTGAGCTGACTCAGCTTGTCAGCAGCTGCATCTGAACAATACTACAAATATCTATGTACTTAATATACCTTCTGATGCAGAGGAAAATTAGTCCTGAATTAATAATTTTAAGCAGCTGGTAGATTAAATGGGAGGGGAGAGTAAATGTGTCCTGTGATGCAAAAAATTTTTGTAGTTGCATATATTCTGAAGCTAGACTTATGAAGCCTTAACAAGGTGTGTTTTTTTTTTTTCCTATGCCTAACTACACTTCATAGTTCCAGCACAACTTCTTTTCTGTCTTCCATGCCATAAAAAAAAAGCTTCTGAAGTCTGATTCTGTTGTCAAGTGTGCATTTGAATTTGACGGTTTACTTTGTAGGCATATATATTTGTAGTGGTGATGACAGTAGTGCTTAAAAAAGCAAATTTAAAAAGGCTTGTGCCCTCACACTTGTTCTGACACTGAACACCAAGTTGAACATGAGAGTTCTCTTTGTGCTTTCAGTAGTTCAGAACTTCCTTTAAAGATAATTACTGTCATTGAACTTCTCAGATGTGTACATGATTTGTAACTAACAGTCACTTTAATCCTGCTCATTCTGACTATTATATTTTAGTAGACTGCCTTGTCTTGAAGGGTATAATGTAAGGACCTAGCTGTAATGCATTAGTATAAACAAATCACTGCCATGGTGCAGGGCAAGGAGGGTAAAGAAGAGTTATTTTGTGGAGGATAATTTTGTGAAGACTGATTCTTACACAAATCTGATAGTTTGTGTGTGGTAGTGATCTATGTAAATGTTATGTGGTTTTGAGTAGTCTCACATTAATAAATCTCTTGTCTTAGTTCATAAAGTCCTCAACTTTGTTTTTTGAATCTTTAGTCGGCGAGGCTCTGGCCTGGGCAAAAGAGGAGCAGCCGAAGCTCGCCGACAGGAGAAGATGGCTGATCCTGACAACAACCAGGATGGAGTTAACTCTTCAGCTGCGCGTACAGATGAGGCTCCCCAGGGAGCTGCAGGTAAGAAGAAATTCCAGCTGAAGCATTTTTAATATAGTTGCTGATACAAACTTCTTTACATTTAAAAATAATTAAATGGATTAAGTTCTTGGGAGAAATTATTGCTTAAGCTGATACATCTGGTAAATAATTCTGGAAGGTGAGGGGACCTTTATTTTTGAATCTGATCTCTGGGATATCTGGTACATGTTTCAGTTATGCTTTTTTGTAGTCTCCAAACTATGTCCAATAAAGTAGACTCCAGTTTTCAGGCATCTACCTTTTTTTTTTAAAAAACGTAACTTCAGCTGATGCTGCATAAATTACTGTACTGCCAGCCAAAAAGACACCAAACTGTTCAGAATACAGAAAGCATGCATTTACCTGTAAAAGCACTTTTGTAACTACTTACAAATATTCTACAAGTTTTCTGTTGAAATGGCAAGTGTGTCTGTACTGGAGAAATTTGTAACCAAGTTAAATATTTTTACTTGCACAGTCCTATTAAATAGTACTTTAATTTTATCATATGGTCCTAATCAGTAGTGAGTTCGAAGGAGCTTTCCAGCAATTATACTGGATTGTAGAAAATCTCAAATGTTCTCTGCTTAAAGCTAGCTACATCAGTACAAAAAGTCAAAATTAACGGAAGCGAAGTGCAGCATAACACTCAATTAAGAAAAGCATAAATTTACCAAGGATACAGGTAAATCTGTCTGAAAGGTAATTTGCTGATTTAGCTGTATTTTTTTTTGTTGTTATCTTGTGTAGATACAGCCTCTTTATTCAGCTTTTTGGAAAGTGTTAGACCTGTAGACTGGTCTATTTAAAATGACAGTTGTACAGAAGTATGATGGTGGCAGTGTTAAATGCAGAGCACTTCTGATGGTGGACGCTTTTCCTGATGGCGGAATTGATATGAATTTTGTAGCTTTAAAGACACTTTAACTTGCATTAATCTCTATTTTATTTCTTTAGCTTCTAGTTCTGTTGCTGGGGCTGTAGGTATGACAACCTCTGGAGAGAGTGAGTCAGATGATTCGGAGATGGGAAGACTACAAGGTATAAAAGTTGTTACTAATTTACCATTTATTTTTTGTTTGCAGCCTATAAATAGCCATACCTACCCAAATTCTGCATTATATGTAGTGGGAAGGCTGTATTTTGTTTCTCTGTCTGTGAATGTGTTGCTTTGCTTACTGTAGTTCTGAAGTACGGAGTTACAAGCTTTAATTCACTAAAAATGCAAGAATTTGGAAATAGTGTCTGGAGGGGGTGGTATAGTGTCCTTACTCATTTACATGGGGTATAATACACTACTACTGATGATTTTTCAGGAGGAAGTGGGGAGAGAGAATTGAGAACTCGGTCCTATTAAGTGTGTAAGCTCAAATACGAAAATAAGTCTTTGCAAGAATGTTTTCAGTTGACAGGCCAGGTTAGGCCTGCTGTTACTCTGCCTGCTTCTGTATAACATTTTTTTTTGTGCTTATCATTGATACCCATGTTGCTGTAAGCTTTGACCAAACAAAATCTAAATGTTCTTAAAATGCTTGCTTTCGTGCTTGGGCTATAAAGGATTCAGGTCTCAAAACCTGAGGGTACAGACAGGAAGAAACTCAGTTTGCATGTCCTGCAACTGTTTAATGATTTTGCCACTACATTGCAAGGAGTTCCGAGATCTTGATCTCCCTTGCAAATGACAGGTTTTGGTTAATCTGGATATTTAATGTGGAAATGAGTGCTGTGTCACTACCAGTTCACTTGCTTGTAGTCCTCAGTAAGCATAGGTATGCATTAGGAATATTGAGCTAAATTGGTTTTTACTGTTAATTGTTATTGTATTGATCAGCAGTAATCATGCTTGTTACAATAAAAATCAGAATCACCCACTTAGTCTAGCTTAAGTAAGACTACTGAAAAGTGTTCAAAAACAAAACCAAAAACCACCTAATATCTGGTAGAGTTTTTCCTTCTCCTGCTCATCAACAAATAAAGCCGTGAACCTTTTTTTCAGTGTCGTTTTTTCAGTTAATAGTGCCACTCAGATCCTGAAAGTGTGAAGATAAGCTTAACCTATTCTATGTAGTTTTGAGTTCGGATTTGAAATTAGTCTGATATATCTGCTATTCTCGATCTAGAATTACAGCAATTTAGTAGACCAGATTTCTTTTGTAAAATACATAACTCTGGAAACTCAGTGGGTGACTTATTAAAGTCTTAATGCTCTGATGCATACAAAAATGATTTATTTGTTCCCTAAAGGTCATCTTTTTGGTGTTTTTTGGAAATCAAGGTAGCTGCAGTCATCTAATCCTAACACTTCTTTCTTAAAGTATCAAAATTCTAGTAGTCTTAAATTATAGCATCGTGGAATTTAAGCTTTTAAAAATATGTAGAAGCTTTGACAATGGCTGTTATCCTCTGTTTGCTTTTAGCTCTATTAGAGGCTAGGGGTCTTCCTCCTCACCTGTTTGGCCCTCTTGGTCCTCGGATGTCGCAGCTCTTCCACAGGACAATTGGAAGTGGAGCTAGTAAGCAAAGTTTGTCTAATTTGACTTAATTCTTTCCACTTCCAGACTAGTAGAATTCAGCCACTAGTAAATTCTAATATTTGTATTAGCTTCATAGCTTAACATAATATTTTACATGTTGGAGATTTGTGTGTCATGATAGTGCTAGACCACTGGTCAACAATATTAATTTGCTTGCCTTCTTATAAGGAAAAGGAATTTGCTTTAGCCGTATTTCTTTTCTTTTCTTTTTTGGGGCATCTTTAATGTTCCCTTCTAGGTGGGGAAGGGAGGGTTCTTGCCTTTTCACCCCTTCCTTATCTTTTTCTTTTGCATGATGGGCTGCTTAACAAAAGACCTCTCCAACCCGCTTGGGGTTTTTGCTAGCTTTAAACAAGTGCTTAAGCTAGCTTTAAAACTATTAGTAGATGTCAGCTCTAAGGTATAGTTTCGAAAGTCTCTTAGGTTACAGACAGAAATAATTTTCTTCAGGCAGTGTGTCAATGAGAACATGGGTCCTTAGTCTTGTTCCACCAGCTCTGCATTATGCAGCTGGATAAAATGCATACCTTCTAGTCCAAGTCTGGCTTCCCAGGAGAGCCAAAGGCAGCCTGTTACACTGCCTGCCAAGAAGAGGATGGGGTCTCTTGGATACTCCATATGCTGTGTTATCCAGGGGGTGTGTTGAAAAGTCCTTTGCTTTATAAAGGTGTGGGTGTGGGTTCTGGCACCCGCTATAGGTTGGCAAGATGGCTGTGGTGAGCAGTGTGGTGGACTCCCTGTGCTGACCAGTCTGCACTGGAAAGACAGCCAAGAGTGAGATTTTGCCTCTCCTATCCCCCCCTTTTTATGACAGGGAAAGGAAATGAAACCACAAATACAGAGGAAAATAAACTATCTCTGGTCTTCCACTCTGGCAGAAGTATAGCATAACAGTTCCCTTGAACACTTGTGTCTTCTAATATCTTCTTTCCTAATCTTTTTTCTGGATATCTAGGTTCTAAAGCCCAACAGCTTTTACAAGGTCTCCAAGCCACTGATGAAAGTCAGCAACTACAGGCAGTGATAGAGATGTGCCAGCTGTTGGTCATGGGAAATGAAGAAACATTAGGAGGATTTCCAGTCAAGAGTGTTGTACCAGCTTTGGTAAAGATTAAATCTCATATTTCTATTGGAGGATATAATACTCAATATCTTGCGTAAATAAAATATTCTT